GGAGGAACCGAGTGGCTTTGGTCCAGCTACTAATAAACTATTACTGAACAAGAAACATTAGCTTCAGGAAGAATATAAAAATAATTAGTCGCTGATATTTTCGATTATTTGGAAGACTGAAGCACTTCAAGAGGTGATGAAATACTCATAAGTTGTAGATGGATGTCCTTCTTGGATGGTGACTCTTTCATCAAGAATCTAATATTAGATAATGAACTGACTAGCATATTTCGTTTGTTCAAACAATGTTTTCTTTTCAACTTGGAAAGTGAAAAATTTACTTTAGAGGGAAATATTGAAGAAGGTAAAAGTTATTTTCAATCGTTATGTTAATTTGTTCACTTGATAAGTGAAACATCTGTCCAATGATGAAATGTAAACAATGAATGATGAGAATGGGGACAAGAGATACGTGGGGATGAATTAAGTACAATAGGATGTAGTGACATAAGACTGATAGGAAGTTAACTGTAGCGAATGGCTGCGTGACTAAAACGGAACATAAGGAAGCATATTCGAAACTGTTTAGCCCACTGTCGTAATCAGAGATGTTACCACTTAGCCTTTCAGCTTTCGATGACACAGGTTCGTGTCTTTTTAGGGTAATGAGTTGCTTCAAGACTGTAGATCCGTCATTCTGACAAGCGGTTGCTACCATGCGAGAAACGTATATCCTGAGCTTCCTTCCGATTGCCTCTAACCAACGTATTAAAATGAAACAATTTTGTTTCTTATTTTTCTGAGTAAACTCTCTGATTTTCAGTTCACCTTATCATTATAATCTTGTCAATTCACGAATATAATATCCAATTTTTATCAGGGCAAATCGAGGTATTTTTCACGATATTTCATCTACACATAACTAAACACAATTGCAAATCTATAGATTGGTGACAACAGTTAGCAGCGTAAGAAATACTGAAGTTTCTTTAAAAGCTTCTTACATAAACTCCTGCTTATAAATATAAACAGAGACAGAATAAACATTGGTGCAGAATAATATAGATTCATTTCATTCCGTAGGCTCTTATCAGCTGACTACAGCCCATAATATTCAGTAAAATCAGTTATAATAAAATTTTAACATACACTCTGCTTGTCATTATGAATCAGTTCTCCAATAAGGATAGTTTAAGAACGTTACAGTGGAACAAAACATAAGGATAACAAGGCGATCTCAAATAATTAGCATATACATAAACATAGCGGAATAGCGAACTTCCTCTTAAAAAAGTGAACGGATTTATTGCCAGGGGTGATAATAATTCAATGATAATTACGTAATCAGAGCTACAGGGATCAGTACTCATAATATTTGAAAATCAAAATCTGCAATGTACAAAGTCGAATAAAAAGCTGACGATGTAATATAGTTAGCAGAATCCAGAGAATCATAACTTAAATTTAATATGAGATCAGAAGATAAGAATTACTAAGAAGGGAGTTATCCCACAACCGACTGCTTTTGAACACGTAGGTCAGATTTCAGTCGTTTTATTGCGAAAGCTTCAGCCAACTAAAGGAGATGGGCTGTTTTGCGTTTTAACTATTCATTGATTATTAATAATTAATATGCACAATGAACCTAATTGGTGACCTGTGTTAACTGGGTGTTTGGTAATTGACAAGTTCGAACTATTCGAACTATCAAATGTAAGGGTCTTTGATACACGTGCAAGGAATCTGGAGATTATCACTGACTTGTCATCACCCTGGCGAGAAATCTGTTCACTTCTTTTACGAGGAAATTCGCTCTTTTAATGTATATGTGTATGCTAACTATTTGAGATTACTTTCTTATTTTTTTACGAGTTGATCACGGATTGATATGTTAGAGAACTATTGGAAATGAACGAAATATTCCCATACTGTTGGAAAACTATTGGAAAACCAACCGGGTGTACTAAACAGCTGTTTCGTCCTAGTTTGAGACTTTTCACCGTTGCGCACCCACTGGGATTCGAACCCAGGACCTTCTGGTTACAAGGCAAGCTCGTATACCATTCAGCCACTGGGACCCGATTCCATGGCTCATGAATTCGAACTTCTACCAGTTCGTGATCCTAATATTTTGTTCCGCTGTGACGTTCTTAAGCTGTGCTTATTGGAGGACCGATTCATGATGACAAGCTGAGTGTGTGTTAAAATTTTATTACAGGTGATTTTATTGAATATTACTGGTTGTCCGCAGATGATGACAGTCTAAGAAATAAAATGAATCTATATTATTCTGCGCCAATGTTTATTCTACCTGTATTCAAATGCTAGAGTGTTTTAGCGATGTCAACATCAGGGCAAAATATTTTAACTCAGAAGTAAACATTGCAGTTTGAATTCAGATTCAGATTTGTTGATTGAGGATATACGGCTTGAAGCCTATGTTAATCCTTTCATAGTAGATCTCTGTGCTTTTTCAAACTCATCTTGAATGAATCAGTTGAGGTTGCGGACACCACTTCTTTTGGAAGTCACTTCCAAGAGTTTATGACTCGGTATGAGAACCTGTACCTCACAGCAATATGGTTTTTTCTTGGCTTTTGAACTCTCTTGCTATGTCCTTCAAGGTGCTCCGACCTGGTGGCAAGGAAAAAAGAGAATACGGCGGGTCCGTAGTCATTATTTAAATTTTTAAATATTGTAAATAAATTTCCTTTATGACAGGGAGAAGCGATTTAAACTGTCTAGTCTTTCCTCGTATGATAAATTAGTCATGCCGAGAATCATGCGTGTTGCCTTCCTTTGAATTCCAGGACTGGCTTCATAAATACAGTTTCCCAGTCTTGACTTCACCAGAGATGTATATAAGAAGGTGAACATATCTCCGAAGATTCTAGCAAAGGCTCTGAGAATTGCCCATATGGATCTAAAACTACGTGCAGCCACCGCACAATCATGTGCTGCAGTTCTTAAGTCGTGGCTTTTTATTACACCTAAATCCAAATGAGTCTGAATTGATAGGATTGTTATTCCCTCGTAGGAGCTGGTGCTTGTGTGTCCTCTGCGTCCTTTGTCCTTTGGTTTCATATTTCGTCACGTTGATTGGTAGCGTCCACTCGCTGGACTACTCTAGCATTTTTCTAAGGTCTCCCTGCAACTTGAGTGTATCACTTTTGCCCTTCAGCTCTCTTCAGGTTTTTAAGTCAGCTGCATATAGGATCATAGGAGAATAGGTGAGCAGAGATAACTCATCGATAAACAAAATAAATACGAGTACAGTGCCTTGTGTACTGTTGTCCAGGAGGAGAGTTTTCGGTGTATCCTAATCCTCTGTCTCCTACCTATAAGGAATCCCCTAATCCAGTTTAGTAAGTTGTTTTTGATACCAAGACTTTCCAACTATGTCCAATGCTTCCTTTCAATTGCCTCCACCTGTCAGATAAAAACAGTTCTGAGTGGACCATGATAGAAAGCCACCCATCATGGTGGCCTCACTACAAACCCAACTAATAGAATCCAGTCTACACCAGCAAATGGACCACACATATGACACTAGTTAGTATTCAATCGAAATATATTTTTATCCTATTTATATGACAACCTCCATCCCATTAGTGCCTGGTCTTATGGAACAAAAAATATAAAAAGCATGATTCTTTCGGTCATATACATGGCTGGTTCTTCATGTCACAGTTCGGTTTTTTCGGATTTCAGGAAAATAAAAAACTGATTTGAACGAAATATTTCTATATTGAGTCATACGAAAAAGAAGAAAACAGCAAAGGAAATTTTCTTTTCGAATTTTTCATTTCATAAGCTGTGCAATCGTAATTTTATCTAACAGAGGATTTATAAGACCAATCAGGTACTCAAGTATTGGTTTGTAGGGATTTAGTTGATTGGTTACAAGATTTCATAGTGAGCTGATATTGGTTAGAGAACCATTGGAAAACCTTGGAGTACTGGACAGCTTTTCGTCTTGTTTTGGAACTCTTCAGCAATACGTACCCACCGGGGTTCGAACCCAGGACCTACAAACCAATACTTGAATATCACTAAGATGCTCACTAGCGACTTTCCCTATTTAGGTAGGTAGTTACCTGGGGTTCTAGTGAGAAGTCGTGACCAGTAGGATTCAGCAGGTCAGGTGTAAGGACAAATACTCGCCGAAGATATTAGCTAGTGGTAGTGCTATGTCGTGAATTGGGAGAAGTTACAATTCATGAACAGCCCATTGGATCGGGTCCCAGTGGCTTAATGGTCTACAAGCTGGCCCTGTAACCAGAAGGTCCTAGGCTTGAACCTTGGCCGGCGGGTGTGTACTGCTGTAGAGTCCCAAACTAGGACGAAACAGCTGATCAGTAATCTCAGGTTTTCGAATGGATCTCTAACCAGTGTCAGCTCAGGATGAAATCCTGTAACCAACCAGATACCTTTAAAAATTTGTCCTCGGAAGATGTAATACATAATGTAAGATGTAAACTGGAAGGGGTGACTAACTGTAATTTAGAAAAGAGGGAAAAAGTAGCATGACGTGACAAGTGTGAGAAAATGACTAATCAATATGATTGTGTAGAATGGACAGGAACCAGTGGAAAGACGATAAATTTTTTTGTCCATAAAATCTGTATGAAATCACAATGCGATTAATAAACAGGAATAGAGTGTCCATAAAATATGGATGATGGAAATAATAGTGATAATGAGGAAATAATAATGACAATAAAAATAGTAAACCTACATAATAAAAATAAGCAAAATTATAGTAAGAATGTTGCTCTAGCCACGGTAGAGCGAGTGAATGTATGTAGCGCTTTTGAATACAGAGTTTTGTTTTCACATCCCGAATAGCTAATGATTCAACTATGTACAGATGGCGTATGCGAAGCCTTTTTTCGCGATACTGAGGGACTCTGTGTAGCACTGTGAAGCATTCATACGGAGGTGCTCGATGTTCAGAGACGACAAGGTTTTCGATTTACTTACATCTGAATACTACATTTGTTACTGAACTGTACAAATCATTATAATTATTTAATGACTTAGTTTATTTATTTTTCCAGAGAGAATCTTCCACATGCTGGAGAACAGGAATGGAAGTACACAACCACACTGACAACCAGTTTAACAGATAAAATGCTAAAACATGGTGTCGCATTGGAAGGTTATATAAAACAGGAGAAGAATTGGTTGGCTTCATCAACGATACTGAAGCTATCAGCAGATCTAGATGAGTGTTTAGAAATAATGCAAAATGTTAATAGAAAATTAGAAGAGTAAGTCAAAAATTATCATTTTTAAGAAAATAATTCGATTTGTGTTGTTTCGTTGTGTTTATCTCGAGAGAAATAAACTCATTGAAGTTTTGTCATTACATCGTCTGGAGATTACTAAATGAAAGAGTCGGTGGTATAGCGGTTAGGACGCTCGCCGACCATGCACATGGTCCGGGGTTCCATCACCGGCCACAGACGCACTCCTGCACCTTGCTGAGCCAGAAATAATGCTGGCAAAGAGGAAAGGTTGGGCATGAGGCTAGCAACCTCATCCTGTAAAATTAAACACTGCTACAGAAACTTCAAGCCACTAGCTTGAGGCTCTTTGTTCCACTGGGAACGTGAAGGAAAAAAATGAAAGCTATCTTAGATCGTTTCATTGTCAATTGAGAAAGTATTCTTGTTCCTCAAGTTCAGTATAATTCCAAGTGGCAGGGGTATACGCACACGCTTGGTTACTTTGATGGTAAAAGTACAGCAATGTGTTGTTAATTCACCTGAAAGCCGTATGTGTGCAGTCAGCCAATAGGTCCCATAGCTCAATGGCAGGATAGCAAACCACTAATAGGACACTACGGGTCCGAATCTTGTCTTGACGCGGGTTTACGTTGGTAATTCGCTCGTCAACCATTAACTACGCCCCGATCTTTATATCACTATCATCAATGCCCTGGTAAGTGTATGCCTTTATCCCCTCTTTCATTTGATTACGTAAACTTTGGCTTAAACCTCACCCTCCTTTGATATAGTGCAATTTTGCTTGTCTCTTGTTTCTATGATTTGAGTACATTGTCATCCAATTTACTGGTCACTCATCATCTTAGGTACCTCTTGTCTTTATTACTTAGCACCCTTACCATTGCATGCATACATTTACTTTGTTTAAACGTGAATTCCCTGTGTAAAAGCTGTGTAAGCTGAACACTGTTCACTAATTGTGGGACCTCCTATCAACTGACATCATGTGAAATTTGCAAGTATGTTAGAACATTTCTGTACATGAAGTTGACAATAATTTATTAAGGCTGTAAGCAGCTGAACTGATGTAAAGCTAACGAAATAAAAATGGTGGTACCATAATATTCTGCCAAACCTGCTGTCCTTGCCTTATTCTAATATTGGTTTACCGACCTAAAACTCCCTAAACTAGTCAAAACATAAGTTAACATAACTTCCCTATTAAAAAAATCGTCTTGAAGTGATATCTTTAAAAAGCCTTGTAATGACAACAAATGATTTTTTTTATTTTATTATAGCTTGACTCCACACAGTATTTTTGACACAAATATGGAGTTTACAGCATGTGATATCGGTAGCCCAAATTTAACAGGCCAACCATTGATATCGAATGTGCGCCGGCCGGGAATCGACCTTCGAAACCATGTACCTGGTCGACAAACGTCCTAACCACTGCGCTACCGACGCACAAACACGGTGTATAACACGCGATTGCATATTATGAATATCATGTGGAAATCTTATGAAGTTAACCGACACCAAATTGATGTTAACACTTCCAAACATTTAATTAATCTTTATTCCACTGTATGGAATCCTATCAAATCATATAGCTAATCATACACCAAATCATTGCAAAATTGCAAAGCCGAGCTCAGCAAAAAATACAACAATTCAATTCACATCTTACGATGTCGATTGCTTTCAAATGTGACTCCTTATCTAAAATGCTAACATAATTTATCTGATATAACCAAAAGGTTTCAAACTGCTAAGAGTATCAATTGATAAACTAACGCTATACCCAAGAATGCTGATGAAATATGTCGACATGGTGGACTAAACTATGCTATTTAAAACTTATTCCGCTCAAAGATTTTATCTTACTTTATTATTATTACTTGTCGCGCTTAAGTACAACTGATTTTTTGAACAATTACTTTATGCAGTGTCCTTTCGTTTTCCAAACCATATTGAACAGTGTTAAAAAAGGTGAGGTTGTTGGGCTTGCCGAGTAATTCTACCTAAGTAACTGTCTCCACAACAGCAGCTAAATTTGTAAATGCTGACTGAAGTGGCCAGACTCAGTAGATTATCCCTCACCTGAATTGAAATTATAAAATGAGTGGTGAATTTGAAGCGAAATATTGCTGAGGAGAATGTCTTAGCTATTATTATTCTGAGTTTCGATATCAACAAATCAGTAAATGCATCTTCTTTGAAGGAAAAAGTCGTATGTATCTGTGAGCATCTTCTGCACTGTTTATGTAAGAACGGATATCCAAAAAATTTATCTCCATGATGAGAACAGACAGAGAGAAATGCCTACAAATGGTGCAGAAGACGCTTATAGATATATGTGACTTTTTCCTTCAAAGAAGATGCAGTTACTGATTTGTTGATATGGAAACTCAAAATAATAATAATAGCTAAGACATTCTCCTCAGCAATATTTCGCTTCAAATTCACCACTCATTTTATAATTTCAATTCAGGTGAGGGACAATCTACTGAGTCTGGCCACTTCAGTCAGCATTTACAAATTTAGCTGCTGTTGTGGAGACAGTTACTTAGGTAGAATTACTCGGCAAGCCCAACAACCTCACCTTCTTGAACATAGTTTAACGTGGTTAGGTAAAAGAGCTGTAATTCAATCAAGAGTTTTACATTGGCTAACCTACTTGATGCAGAGCACAAAGCTGGTAAAATTTACTTTATTTCCGAGGAAGATTACACCTCATTTTTGGATAAACAATATAAGACCCAGGTAATTCCTTAGGTGGTCACCATAGTCTATGGAATTTATAAACGTTTCTTGGTCCGTTGGAACAGTATCACCACTTTGCATACATTACGTTCACATATAAATGCATACTTTAATGATAGTTGCTGGTCGATTAAAAAATTACTTTATGTTGGTGAGATCACCTCTCATAGTATTTCTTAAATGAATGAACATCAGAAAATTCCTGCTTTTTATTTAGAACAAAACTACTCTACCATTTTTTGTCATAATTTTTATCTATCGGTCTTATTATTCAAACTTTTGTGTTGTCACAGATAAGAATCTCCTAGGAAAACAATAGAGCTGATCAAAGAGGTCGTCTTTGGGTCAACAAACTAAATAACACAGTTAACCAATACTGAAAGGAAAACTCCTCTTCACAAAGACTGGAAGCATTCCACTGAACATGAATTATGCATCTGTGATACAGCGGTAGAACACTAGCTAACCATGCCTGTAGTCCGTGGTTCGATACCCAGCCGCCAACGCACTGCTTTACCACGCTAAGCCGGTAATAAGACCAGTAAAGAGGCAAGGTTGGGCATGGGGCTAAGGACCCCATCTCACAAAAATAAACACCACTGCTACCAATATTTCAAGTCTCCAGCTCGACGTCTTATGTTCCACTAGGAACTTAAAAAAATAAAACAAGAACATGAATTAAGTGTATAAAATAAAATAGTTGTTATATATTTGCGTGTTAGGGTTTATATTGGTCTCCCATACCTTCTAATGGGCTCTTACTTAGTCAGTGAAAACAGTAATTAACATTAGTAACCAGAAATCAAGTCTTAAGACATCCACTTGAAAAATATGCTCATTGAATAAATATTCGCATAATAAATATTCGCATTGCAAATAAGCAAACATTTTCAACATTTCATTACATCGCCCAATTTCTCTCTACAGGAATTCAGAAATGGCCATTAAAGCTAATAAAGAATTACACGGTATTGTGATCTCTTATTGTGTCCGTGTCAGATGCTGGGTCGGAATCAGGTTAGCCGAATAATGTTTAGATTGATTTTAATAATTTTGACGTGATTTTCACTTCTCACTTAATCATTTAATTCATGTGTTGGGATCAGCAGGAAAATACAAGATGAATAACTTTGGTGGGAGACGTCCTCCTTGTTAGTGAAAACGAAAATCCAATCAATCAAGCGATTTTAGATATAAAAGGGATATTTAAGATCTACTAAGTAGAAACGGATATCCAGCTAAATTCGTGAACAAACAGATGAACTCAGGAAGTAAAAAGTCGAAGGTATCTACTGTTTCGTGCGTCGGTAGTATAGCGGTTAGGGCGCTCGCCGACCATGCACATGGTCCGAAGTTCGATCCCCAGCCGACGCACTCCTTTACCTCACTGAGCCAGAAATAATGCTGGCAAAGAGGAAAGGTTGGGCATGAGGCTAGCAACCCCATCCAGTAAAATAAACACTGCTACAGAAACTTCAAGCCACTAGCTTGAGGCCCTTTGTTCCACTGGAAACGTGAAGGTAAACAAAAAAAGAATCTACTGTTCCCAAAAAATCAGTCTCCCCCCTCCTATATCTAAAATGATTAACAGAAATAACCGCTTGCTTGATAAAACATTTTGATGTAAAAAACTACATATTAGTGTAGAGCTGATGATGAGGAACTAATTGAAAAGGAATATATTTCTTCGCTAAATCTGCCGTTTTTTCTAAATGCGCAAATGGGAATTTGGAAGAAGGAAATTATTAATATTGTTTTCAAAGAAATAAAGCTAGATTAGGATTCATCTTTAGAAACAAAGTAGTACAACAACGCTGTTCCCGCCTCCATAAATATAGAATTTTAGGAGTATCAATTATGATGGAATATACTTGTTATGACGGAAATTGGCTAGTTATGGTCGGAACGCAGGAAACTGACCTCTGTATCCTGCTGTATAGCTGACAAAACTTCCTTGAAACGCTAACAGTCACAAAACGCTCTGAAGACGACAAAAAGATGATTACTCTTTGCTGAAATCTGTAGTTGTATTCAACAGTCATAACATCAAAACTCAAAATTACTTCAACAGTGCCGTTAGGCAGCCATACAGACAAGATACAAAACAAGTACTTTAAATCAAGTAGAATTTTCCGCAAAAGGTGGGATCGAAAACTTTGTCTACAAGAGTCCCACATCCAAGGTTAGAAATGAGCTTTATTCACTCAAACAAAATCAAATCGTTAAGCATCATATTGTCAACATATCACAAAAGCACAAAGAGAAGCATTAAAATCAGAGGTAGAAGAAGGATAAAGACAAATAATAAGTTGAACACGGATTGATATCAGTTTGAGAACCATTGAAAACCAGGGGTACTGGACAGCTGTTTCATCTAGTTTGGGAATCATCGGCAGTATCCACTCATCACCCAAGTTCGAATCCAGGAACTTTCAGTTACAAGGCAAACTTGTGTACTATTCAGCCACCGGGCCCCAACTCAGTGGCCAGCCCGTGAATTCTAACTTCTATCAACTCGTAATCTAGAGCAACTACCGATCAATGTCAACGGTGGCACAACCATCCTCATTCCTGACTGGATAGACATCACTGGTTACGACTTTCCACTAGGTCGCTAGGTTCAAGCTCACCAGTTATACAGTCAGACGATCTCAATGAAATAATCGAATCGGACCCTACTCCATGGATTCCAGTTAGCCACTCTAACAAAACGGCAGGATTTCAAAATCTCACAGTTCGGGATTACAATTTTTACAACACATTTTCTTTTAGGAACCAAAAGTCACGCAGAAAACAATGTGTAATCTAAGTGGTCAATAGTAAGGCCAGCTATTTATGGTAACAAGCAAACCGGAATTTTTTGTGAAAAACATGCTACTGATGGATTGAGATGAGTAGTTGTATACGACTTATAACAACCAGTAGTGCATGCCAGATTATCGGAGTCATCGAATCACCAGATGTCCAGTTCGCTCGTTTTTTGTCAAACTAATCAGTAGTGTATCCATTTTGACTCAGCGCAAGCGGGTGGATCAGTCCAAAGCACCCGATTTCTCGCCAGCTACTTGAGCGAACTGTTATGACCTTAAATCAAATTTATACATCGCGAAATTGACTGAATACTTCTGGTTCCAGAGGAAACTGTGATGAGTGCTCATATCAAACCATGTGATTTTCAAATGACGAATCGCATTCTATAAAATATTAAATTTAGCAAAGGGGTTTTCTCGTTCCAGGCAGCTGAGTATAAGTGGCTCTAAATTAATATTCGGCATTTTTTACATTACATAAAATATTAGTCTATTGACGGTAGATAGTTCACTGACATGATTTATGATACTTTACTACGAAAATTAAGATGGCAATTAAAGGAAATAAGTAATCATCGAGCAAGATGGGAAAACCAAAAGGAAATTAGTAAAGTAATTTGGATAGCAGTTTCTTCTCGTTATGATTGGAACAGAGAGTCTCAGGACTGAGCTTTGAAGTCTCAGTAGTATTGGTGATTGTTTTTTACCTTCCTTCTCTGACGGACTTACCACTTGCTAATAAAAATAATAACAGTAATGATTTACTTTATTCCAAAGACAGTACTTGTGATACAGAATGGAATTTTCAGCATTAATCGCAATACTGCATCTAATTTCCTCAAATTATAAATAAAATTAATCACACAGAAAATCTTCCACATTTACAATAAGGCTAATGTCAAAAACATGTAGGATATAAAATGGAAATAATAATAATAATGATAACAGCTAAGGTAATTATAATAATACAAGTGAAAATTGCCGTCTGCTTGTTTCACACAGTATCGTCGATGCGGTATAGAAATCCTAGCATGTTTAAAAATATTGAATGAATATAATGTTCTCTTTACATGATATGGTGAGGCGAAAAACAAAGATTACAGCAGTCATAGGGATAAGTTGGTGTTCGCAATTATGAGAGTAAAACAAACAAAGAAGCAACAGGACCATAAATATAATAGAAATAATAGAAGTAAGACTTGGAGGTATATAAGGATGGATGGAGGAAATTATTTATTTACTAGATGAAAAATGTCAGTTAATTTTTCATAACACAAAACACGTGCCAAGTATGGTATCATAGAATTTCTATACTTAGACTTGCGAGTATACACTTTTCTGAAGTTACTTCTTGTTCTACCTGAGGAGGTGCAAGGTGAAAGCTGAGGGTAAAGTGGATGCTCCAAGTCTGACAAAATCCCTCTAGCAAATTTATTGCACAAAGCCAAGTGCCTATTGACAACAATGTTAACTATGTGGTCCACAGGGACACCACTCACCCTACTGACAGTCTTCAGTATTCTACGAATTGTGACATAGTCTTTTTTAAGCAAACCAGGAAAGAATGAGGGTGAGCAATAAAAAGAAGAAGAATAGGTAGGATACAAGGGTTTATAAACTGTGAGAGGAAGGGTTGAGTTATCCCCAAGTGCTTTAACTTCTTAATGTAAAATGTCAGGCAGAATATTTTACTGGAGATCGCTAAGACATGGGAAGACCAGGAGAGATAAGCACAGAGAATAAGTCCGAGATACTTAATTTCTGATTTAATTCCTATATTACTGTCGTCAATTTTACAACTGTCATGAGAATCGACGACTTCTTTTAACTGTCTTTTACATCTTAAGCTGAAATTAACAGTTTGACATTTAGAAGGATTCAGTTTAAGACCGTTAGACCCAGACCATTTACTGACTGCTGACAGAAAGCTATTTATTCTGGTACAATCTAGCTTCGAGTTAACAGCCATTGAAACTGTTAAATCATCAGCGTACTTCACAAGGCTTATTTCATAAGAGTGAAGCAAGTCATGTAAGAAGAAAGAAAAAAGAAAAGGAGAAAGGACAGTGCCTTGAGGAACACCAGCTTCAGTAGGCAATGAATGGTGTACTGCTTTCTTTCTGAGAAACAGAAGTGTAACCAGTTAATAGCCCAACATTCTGTTTGACAAGCTGCAAGTTTATTTAATAAGATGTCCCTAGGGACTGAGTCGAAAGCAGATGTATAGTCTGGGAAGGCACAACGAACAAATTAGCCCCGTTGTCTAGATTGGAAGCAATGTTATGATATAAGACGGCAGTTGCATCCCAAGTGCTTCTACTGTGACTATAGGCAAATTGTTTAGGGTCATTAAAGGATATAAGCGAAGGTACAATACTAAGTAAAGGTAATTTCTCCATAGTTTTCAAAAAAGGAGAGGTAATAGCAGTGGGTCTAAATTTGACACACTCTCCAGTAGATAATTTAGGTATAGGTACAACTTTAATGTCCTTCCAAACGGCAGGCACAATATTACTGGAAAAAGATTTGTTAAATAGATCAGTGAGAGGGTAACACAGAATATCGGAACATTTTTTTAAAGGCAATACTAGATACATAATCTGGATCTAAGCTCTGGGAAGGGTTCAGAGACTTGAGGCACTTTTGAACATCGTTTGGGCTAAGCGAGGTCTGGAAATGTACTCGCCAAAGATCGAAACCAGGGCCACGTGGGTAGTTGGTGACTGTTCTATCATTGAACCACCTGTTCATTTTGCGAAAGATAATGATAGTTGTTTTAATTTAATTCATCAGTATTTTTTTGGAATAAAGTAAAATAAATTATTTTTAAAAAATTATTAAATTATTATTAAAATAAAGAAGATTTGAAGGTGAATAAAGACTCTGGAAGTTGTATATTCATAAGTGAAGAAGTCAAAGAAAGCTATCATCATTGAACTGATGTAGGAATACCGTAGTTTCTTCCTTTATATCTACGTTTCAAAATTTATTGTAAAAATACAATTGCTGGGCAATAGAAACATCTATTTTACTGAAATGGAATAAAGTCGACTCAAGGAACAAACATGTTTAATATCACAGGAGAAAACCAACGAACTGACAGAAGAGGCTGGCTGGCAGCGAAGAGAGGACTCCAGGTGAACATTGAGAAGTCGAAGATGGAGTTAATAAAGATAAGCAATCGACTGCAACAACGAACAGCAGCAACCAGCATCAAAAGGAGTAATTTGAAGGAGGTTATTCCCTTCACTTATCTGGCAAGGAAGCAGGTTTCAACCACAGGCAGTTAAAATGGATGAAGATTTCAAAGTTGGTCAGAATCGGGAAGGCGACATATGTCTTTATCAACCTGAAACGAGTTTGGAAATCTTCTGCACTTCCCTTGGCTTGCATAAACAGATAGATTCGGATTTATTAACATAAATTTGAAGCCAGTCGGTTCTTCTTTATGGGTCATAAACTTAACCAGAGTGTCACGAAACGAATTTCCAGCAAATTGCAGAATTTTATCAACAGCTGTCTTCACTGGCGCCATACTATAGATGAAAGCGTAGGATAGAAAGAATTAGCAAGAAGAAAATCTGACTGGTAACAAACCAACCGACAACCTGTTGCTCATTAAATACGTAAGAGAAAATAGAGATGGATTGATTGAGCATACGTTGAGTAGGATATCGAATGACATCGTCCTCAATGTGGGGAATCCATCCATCACTCGAGTGGAATGCCAGTGGGAAGCGACGCGTGAGTCGTCAGTAAGAGGGTGACATTTAGGAGATCGTATGCGTTGGAGGAGGAGATGAGAGATCATGGTCGGCCTAGGACCCAGCTAAAGAAGATAGCAGAAAATAGAACGTAGTGGAGATGTGTTGTTGAAGCCCTATGTTCCACTTCGAACCCAAAGAGAATAATAATAATAAAGAACAAACGCTTAAATTAACTTGAGGCAATTTATCAAAAGTCCACAATAGAACATATAGCAAACCAAAGCAAGTGACAGTGTAGAGTCTTTTTCAAAGAAAGTCGTTGAGAAAAGGTTTTCCACTGAATCACTCGTTTTAATTTCCTGCATATAATAGATACAAGGAATACAGTACGCTTTTTAAACCTACCTATAACACGTGCTGGGATTTATAGTAAAGTTTAGTGGGAACCTTAACGATTAGGAAGTTTAAAGCAACTTTATGTATTCAAAAATAATTTTTCATCACATTCAACTTACATTGGTAAATTTTATTTTGACACCTGAATAAGTGTACTATTATCACTTTCTTTGGTTTATTGATCTTCAGTATGGCCTTTTAACTTGACCTGGTTTCATTATCCCACTCCTTAATTCTTTATTTTCTATATGAACGTGTATTACAAATTGGTGCATTTGTGTTGTGCATATAGATTACACCATTCAAAAAAATCACGTCTTCTTATCGTTCTCCCGATAAATCGAGTTCATTATTATTAACGGATGCTTTTAGAATTTAGGAGATACGTTTAGTCTGGAAGAATTTGATTTACATTGAGCTCTAAATGTAATTCAATCCTAATCTAATCTAATCTTGAAATTAATCTTACGGAACCCAAATAAAATCATGAAGTAACACATTTATAGAAAACCTGAACACTTGCTGTTATTATCCCCTTGTGTTCGGATTAAAATATATGGATTCACGAGCACATTTTCATCTCAATCTATATTTTCAAGTTAAATCCATGACTGTCCATAAGCTTCTATTCTCTGCTAATAATATCTCTTCCATGTCACCCTCACACCAACGCCCACCTTGTCATCTCTTATTCCTGTTCCACCCGAGGATCTAGATTATGATGTAACTCAATGGTTCGCTCAGCATCTGTCCAAATCAGGCTGTTGGCTTATTTTCTGCTTACCCTGTTCCGCTGGCCGTCTGATCTTCAGCATTACACCAAAGATGTCATCCATGGATGAAATTCTCCAGCAGGAAGTTGAAAATGGCCTCGTAGACGTTTGCATCAGATCCATAATCACACCGAATATTGACTTGATATTAGTGTAAAAAATTCAAATCTTATTCCCTGTGCTGAGTGCAGTCAGGTTTCACACTGATATTAGACTAACGAAGGTCTATCTACCTTCTTCGATCCTGTAAAGCTTTGACATCCTCATATATACCGCCTGTAGTTGTAACTATGCTGACTTGGTAAGTAAAAGAACCGACTTTAGATAACTCCCACTGACTGCAACTGATCCTTCCTGTTTTGTTGGATAGATACCTTCAGTATTTATGCTTTTCCTATTTTCATCCGAAGGCCTACATTCGCTCAATCTTTTGCCAACCTGTTTGTTTCCACCTGCAGATCTTCGACTCCCTCTCTGAATCTGGGCATAAATCATCCCCGATCTTCAGACCTTTTAGTGTCTTTTTGTTATTATGAAAAAAAATAATTACAATCCATGCGTATTTATAATTAGTTTCCTGAAACACTAGACAGTCGCACTGACTTATATTGGTTTTTGCAACTTTATAAATCATCGTCTTTATTTAATTGTTGGATATACATCGTCTTTACTCTTTTTCTGTTTTTTCCTCCAGTCGGTGTTCACTCTACGTTCCATTTTTGTTAATGCGACCAGGAAAAGAGCCCTGCAACACAACTGATGCAAAGTGCAAGATTTCTACTACTACTCATACTATTCCACCAGCTGATATAACAGGAAGTCAAGTATGTTTTGTTAGAGAAGTACACCATATCAGATGGTTAGAGAGTTCTTTTTCTTTGAACAGTGACTTCTAGTCTGATAGATATGATAGAGAAGATTTGTAGCTCAGGTGGATGATTGATTTGCGAAGCTTTCACCACCCTACTAGGTGACATCTTCAGAACATACTTCAATTTGAAGTGAGCTTTTAGGTTTCTCCACGAGTTTATTAATCATCTCTCCTGATGACCTTGGACGTGATTGGTTGTTTGTGTGTGTTTTCACACCTTCTAGGTTACTTGTATTGGAAGTGATTGTTTCTTTGACTTGAATTTTGACCCTTTGTGTGTGAAGTTTCTTTCTTATCGGTTGATAAATTTTGTCTATCTCTATGTGTGTATTGATTGATGATTCACTGGAATGCCAAGCTTCTGAAGATTCTCTAGCATTCTTGTTGTTTCCTCTGTCTAATATTTGAAAGCTGGTTGTCCCAGTCAAATTGATGTCACGCCTTTGACGGCTAGCTTATGTTCTTAGATACGAAGACGAAGGGAACGTCCACTTTGGCCAATGTAGTGTTTTTCGCACTTGTTACAATTTATTTTGTAGATGATGTTGGTTTTATCTTCGTTCACTGTTGAGTCTTTTGGTTGACATAGAATTGAGTAAAGTGACTTTGTTGGTTTGTGCACGAAGAGTCTTGTAGTGATTTCTGAGACATCCTTTATATATGGTAAGGGGATTTTCTCTCTCCTTTTGATTTGATAGGTTGGCTTGGGGGTATATGTCTTTTGATGAAGTTCCGTGGATATCCGTTCTTTTGAAAGACGTCCATGAGATATCTTCACACATCACACACAAGGGATCAAAGTTCAAGCCAAAAAAACAATCACTTCCAATACAAGTAACCTAGAAGGTGTGAAAACACACAAAAACAACCAATCACGCCCAAGGTCACCAGGAGAGATGATTAATAAACTCGTGGAGAAAGCTAAAAGCTCACTTCAAAATGAAGTATGTGGTGAAGATGTCGCCTAGTAGGGTTGATGAAAGCTTCGCAAATCAACCATCCAGCTCAACCACATCAAAATTCTAGTCTCGTTTTCTCTTCTTGGCATAGAGGTAGTTATGCACCGTAAACCTAAACAGGAATATTTATACTTCAGGACTAACGGAAAATTAAAGCAGAGTTTATTAAGTTTGATATTCATCTTTTTTCATCCAGGTACCCAAAGTATCTTATCATGTAGATATAATTATCAGAAAAAAGTAACACGTATGAGATGCGACTAAATCCAAAGAAATAGGTAATAATATATTACATGTAAATAACAATGTGAAAAAAAAATATACGATGAAATTTCTCTTCTTAGTCTTCTTACACACAGTCCTCTACGTGATTTGCAAATATTTTTAAGATTTAACAAGTCATAAAAACATTACAAGATATACACTACCGAAAGAATATGAGATTAAGTCACGAAATAAAGCGTATATCTTTTGAAGAAAATGGTACTAACAAATATTTTAACATGTAAAAATGAGATAATATTATGGATAATGGCTTCATTTTAAGAAGCTCCTTCTCAATATGATATTAAAATAATGCTCCTACAGAAAATGACGTTAGTGCAAAGAAGATTCGTTCTGGCAGAAGTGTAGACTGAAAGTCGTCTGCAGTACTCACACACCACGAGGGTTTGAAATCAGGACCTTTCAGTTGCATGGCAAACTCGTATACCATTCAGCCACTGGGACCCAACTCAATAGCCAGCCCATGGACCTCACTGGTCACGAGTTCTCACTAGAACTCCAAGAAACTGAGTCTTATAGAAAGTCACTAGTGAGCATAAGATTTATTTTCAAGAGTACTTCTGTGAAGATTAGATTTGTTTTTCCAGTATGACCACGGGTTGATATCAGAAGTCGTGAAAATTCATGATCAGTGAGGTCCACCCAGTCGGGAGTCAGGATGAATTTCCCACCGATGACATTGGCTGATCGTGGCGCTAAAATCACAAGTAAGAAGAAGTTAGAATACATAGGCTGACCATGAAGTCGAGTTCCAGTGGCTGAATGGTATACGAGCTTGCCTTGTAACCGGAAGGTCTTGGGTTCAAACCTGGGTGGTGGATGCGTACTACCGATGATTTCCAAAGGAGTATAGATGACTTAATAAATCTACTGAAAGATATCATACCCAAAAACTCGCCATTCACAAGGCAATAGTAGTAAATATCTGGAAAGTATACACACTAAACTATGGCCAACACAGCCCTTAAAAGTTGGTATTTATATACAATATTTGTTTAAAGATCAAACCGTTGAAAGAGTTAATCAAAATTAGGAAAATACCGCTAAAACTCTCAGAATACACTTAGAATGTATCGAATATGGCAGATACATCGTTCATACGTCGGAAAACCTCTCTTGCCATATCAATAATCATCTGCTAAGATTATGAGGAAAACTTTTCGAGAAAATCTTTCAAGATGTATCTAGTGGATTAGCGACATGATATTAAAGCCAACATAAGATTTCAGCGACTTCGAGGCATGTTTCATCATAGAGGGGAAATGGTTGGAAGATGGGGAAATAGAACGAAGCTCTGTCAACTGTTCCTCACTGAGGTGTAGTTTTCAATAGTCTCCTAACTAATGTCATGTTCATCCATCTTGATTTCTTTGCTTTCTGTTCGAAATCATAAAACCAGTTTTTAATATTACGTCATAAATATCATTTCTAAAAGATTCGAATTGATTACCAACTGTTCATCTTAAAATAACGCAATATGCCTCTTTCTTCGGTCTTCATTGTCGATTTGTTAAATTCTCCAATCTCTTCACGATTGATTTTGATTAATGCATATTGTTCATTAATTTTTAGCCCTGCCTTATTCAATATTCTTAGTCATATTATGTATGTTTGTATTCCTACAGTGCTTTAAAGTATATGGAACAGACCTAGCGCAAACAGCAGGCATATAGGTACAGAAATTTAAGAATTCAATTAATCCTACTATAATAAATTTTATTGCTTATTTGAATAAATTAATGCTGGCTAAAATTTCTGGTACACTTCTCTACAACTGTCTGTGAGATATCCTTCAAAACTTAGAAATTAATTCGCCAGCATTCAAGAATTAATTACAGCACTGAATGTTGTAAATTTCTAAAAATTTAATAGATTACAGTTCATTTTTAAAGAAACATTCCTTGGGGGTCAGAGTATGAATTATTAACAGTTAAATGTCATTAGACATTTGAACCTTATTTTCGTGCTTGTCGGTAAGTATCAGTAAGCTGTATCAGCAATCTTAAAGGAACTCATGTCTCTTCTGATATTCTAACCCGAATCCCCTAGGTTCAAGGTTTCCTGTAGATTGCCTCCAACCATCTAATAACAGCAATTCCGACTGCACCTAACATGGTGGCAAACTAGAATGATAGAATTCAGTCTGCATCAACCCAGGAACTAGATACATGGCATCAGTCACGACTTGGTATCCAGTCAAGTAGCAATTGTATGTGCATAGTAAGGTAGATACTGTCTATCTGAAGAAGCCGTTCAGTCATTATTATCAGTATCGCACTGCTGTTTGATGTTGAGCTGGTCTAACTACAGACTTTCATTATGTTAATCTGGACAGCTTTGGCGCTTTTTTGAATACGAAGTGGATTTTAAAACTTCCCTACAAATGAAATAATAGTAGACAATCATAAATATCAACAACAACATTCGAACTTTCAACACTAATGTCAAGTCAGTCAGTGGTGCTATATGGTTCAGCCTACAGCAGAATTTCTTCAACAGTTGCCGTCGCCCGATAATGAAGACCTAATCGCTAGAAAGAATTAACAACAAGGATCTCTGGCAGGCAACGGACCAACCAACAACATACTGCCCCCAAAAAGATGCGGGAAACAAAATTAGATCAAAACACGCTGGGAAGACCGTTGAGTGATATCGTGCGCCAATCCCTCGAGTGGAACATGAATGGAAAACAGCGAGCTGGGCATGAATTCAAAGATAACATGAAGGACATCGTGTGAGCAGAGAATGATAGATTATGTGCAATCGTAGAGCCAGTTAGAGAAGACTGCAGAGGACATAATGAAATGGTGATATGCTCCTGTAGATAAATATCCCAACCGGAACCCAGAATACTATTCACATTATACAAACTACAAATCTAAGTGGAAGTAGTTCAAATTCTTAGTAGAAAGAATATGAAGAATCCCAGAGACTTTCAGGAATCTTGGTACTAAAATGAAATTTATGCTGACCAAATGTAAAAATGGTGATAAAGAAAATGCCAAGCAGTCAAAAAATCGAATGTCAAATGAGGAGACGCTCATTATCATTGGAACTAAATAGAAGGACTGCAAAAACTCCTGATGGTGATTATTTTATCTGGAGTCATCATAAAGGCGGGTTATTTCATTCATAAACAATAATAAGTGCTAGTTTCACTTCGAAGTTAGTGCTGAATATGTTGTCAGGGAAGATAATGAAATATTCAGTTCACATCACACAATGTCATCAGTGGTAATCATATTGCTTAGGCTATTCCGTAGAACGGATTTATTCTTGAATGATGTAAATTATGTTGTCTACATACCTAAAATACTACTGAAATAACGATAAAACTCGGGCACTGTGATAGAGTATAACTCCTTTGCGGATAAAATTTTATTCTGGCGAGATCACACGTTGTTATACAGTAATATCTACTGACGAGCACGTTTCCAGCAAAATTTATTACTGCTCATAATAATATCAAAGCATTAGTCACACGACTTTCCAACTTCGCTTATATCATTCCACTGTTTCTCATCTCTTGACTTGACTGGTAGTAATATTTTCCATATTTCCGGTATGATTGATGTGTCATTTCTGTTGCATGTTTTGGGTGTAGACTCAATGAACAAGGATTCAGTAATCAATCTCTCTTTCCACCTACCTTTATTACTCTTCAAAGTAATAACCTCCTACCCTATTGTGTGGGTGGGTGTTAATGTGTGCAGTGCGACTGCTTAGATTTTTTCTAAATGAATTATCTTCGCTGGTGGGGTCAAACATTGCAACCTTAGCTAAATTCTTGTGTTCTGACAATCTCACTATTCCCGATCTATTAATATAAGAATAAAACTTGTGCACTGTGGTAGAGTGTAATTCCATTATGGGTAAATTTTGTTTTGATAAAGTCTCACAGTGTTATACAGTAATGTTTACTGATGACGTTTCGAGCACAATTTATTGCTCATAATCATATCAAGGTAATCACACGACTTCCTAAATTCATTTATATAGTTCCATTGTTTTTCTCTTGATTTTCACTTGATTTGATTGGTAATAGTATTTTCCATATTTCAGGTATGAGTGACGAGTCATTCCTATTGCATGTGTTGGGTGTAGACTCGATGAACAAGGATTCAGTAATCAACCTCTCTCTCCACCTACCTAGATTACTTTTTAGAATTTTAACCCTCTCCCACCCTATTGTGTGGTTGTGTGTTAGCGCATGCATTGCAATTGCTGAGCTTTTTTCTAAATTACTTATCTTCTCGGGGTCAACCATTCTTACCTTAGCTAAATTCTTATGCTCTGACAATCTGACTACCCCTGACCTACTAGTTTGACCTATGTAGTTGACCTCACAGTCATTGCATGGTATTTTGTAAATAATATTATTTTGTCTAATTGGGTCAACTGGGTCCTTTAACCTACAGAGCTTGTCCCTGAGTGAGTTTGTAGGTTTAAATGCCACCCTAATTCCTATTTTATTCAGAATCCTACGTAGTGTCTCAGATGTCCCCTCTTTATATGGTATAACTGTGGATGACTTATATTCTTTCTTATTTATGTTATTATTACTAGTTTCACAATTATTTTTATTTTGTTTTTGGCCTTTAGTGATCTTCCTAATGAATTTTATAGGATAGTTATTCAACACCAACGCTTCTTCTATCTGTTTTAATTCATCATTTAGATCTTTTTTTGTGCTACTTAGTGCCACTGCTCGGTTTGTTAAACATTTAACTAAGCCTGCCTTAACAGTTAAAGGATGAGACGAATTAAAGTCTAAATATCTATTAGAATGCGTTGGTTTTCTATAAACACTAGTGTGTAGTTTGCCTTCTTCTATTCTTTTTATCTTACAATCTAACATAGCTAATTCTCCTTGTTCATTTTCTGATTCAAATGTGAATTTTATTCCCTCAACTTGTGAGTTTATATGTGTCAAGAAGCTAGAGATGTGTTCTGTTTTTAACACTGTGAAAGTGTCATCCACATATCTCCACCATATTTTCGGAGTAGGGTTAAATGTATTGAGGGCACTATTTTCCCAGCTGTCCATAAATATGTCTGCTACGATAGGGGATATTGGTGATCCCATTGCTACACCTTCTGTTTGTCTATATATTTTGCCTTGGAACTTAAAGATAGTAGATGTGAGGCATAACTGAATCCCTAAAATAATTTCTTCAATGGACAGCTTTGTCCTATGACTGAGTTCCGGATCCGCAGTTAATTCTTTTTTAACTGCTTCTAAGGCCATATTAACTGGTATATTAGTATAAAGACTAGTTATATCAAAACTAACCATTGTTTCATCATTCGCTAGTTGAATGTCATTTATTTTATTTTTCATCTCATATGAATTAGTTAATCTAGAGTTTGAACGATTTCTAATGGGGCATAGTATTAGAGCTAAGTGTTTTGATAATTCATACGTGGGGGTATTTCTAAAATCTACTATTGGTCTTATGGGGTAACCTGGCTTATGTATTTTTATAGTACCATATATTCTACTAGCATTATTAGTTTTAGGCATTAAATTAAACCATTTAGACTCACCCGATCTACTAGTTTCACTGACCTATGTAGGTGACATAACTCACAGACACAGCAACGTACTTGGTCAATTATATTATTTTGCCTAATTGGGTCAACCTACAGAGCTTATCCCTGAGTAAGCTTGTAGGTTTAAATGCCACTCTAATCCCTGGTTTATTAGGAGTCCTACGTAGGGTCTCAGACGTCCCCTCCTCATATGGTATAGCAGTAGATGCTTTATATTCTCCCTTATTTATGTTATCATTATTATTATGTGCGTCGGTGGCACAGTGGTTAGGACTCTCGCCGACCATGCGCATGGTCCAGGGTTCGAGCCCGCACCGACGCACACCTGATATCTATGGTCGGCCTGAAAAATTTGGGCTACCGATATCCATGCTGAAAATTCCATACTTGTACCAAAAATACAGTGTGGAATCAAGCTGTAAATCAAAAATTAAAAATTAGTTTCTCCATTATTTTTATTTTGCTTCTGACCTTTTCTCACGTTTCTAATTAATTTTATAGGATAGTATTAAGCATCAACCAGCTATCCTTCTATCTGTTTCACTTCATCATTTAGGTTTTTTGTCATACTACTTAGTTCTACTGCTCAGTCTGTTAGACATTTAACTAAACCTGCCTCTACAGATAACGGATAAGACGAATTAAAGTCCGAATATCTATTAGCAGAATGCGTTGGTTTTTTATCAACGCTAGTGTGCAATTTACACTCTTCTATTTGTTTGATTTTACATTCTAACATAGTCAATTCTCCTTGTTCAATTTCCGATTCAAATGTGAATTTTATTCCCTTCACTAGTCAGTTTATATGTGTCATGAAGCTAGAGATATGCTCTGTTTTTAACACTGTGAATGTGTCATCTATATTTCCTCACCATATTTCTGGAGTAGGATTAAGTGTATTAAGAGCAGTATTTTCCCAACTGTTCATAAATATGTCTGCTACGATAGGGGATATTGGTGATGCATCCCATTGCTAGACCTTCTGTTTGTCTGTATATTTTGCCCTGGAATTTAAAGATAGTGGATGTGATTCATAAATGAATTCCTAAAATAATTTTCTCAATGGACAGCTTTGTCCTATGAGTATTTACGGGATCAGCAGTTAGTCCTATTTCCCATCATATTATATTTTTTATTGAGAACACTAATATTGTTTCCGTTTCTACTTTGTCTGACTTTCTGTTTCAGGCATATCTATTGAACATTTAATAATTTGTATCCATATGCCGAATCAACTTTTACTCTTGAGTATAAACGAAGCAAGAAATTTGTGTGAATAGTACCTTGATTTGATTATGAACAGCACAGTGGTTAGGACTCTTTTCGACCATACACATGGTCCGAGGTTCGATCCCTTGCCGACTTACACCTGATATCTATGGTCGGTCTGTAAAATTTCGGCTACCGATATCCTTGCTGAAAATTCCATACTTGTACCAAAAATACAGTCTGGAATCAACGTGTAATCAAAAATATATAAATATATAAAAAAATAAAAATATGTAAATTGTGCTCGAAACGTGATCATCAGTAAATATTAGTATATAACGCACTGTGTGATTCTATCAAAGTAAAACTCTATCCACAATGGAATGAATACTCATCATTCGAAATAGTACTGTTTTTCTTCCCTTCACGTTCCCCAGTGGAACATAGGGCTTCAAGCTAGTGGCTTGAAGTTTCTGTAGCAGTGCTTATTATTTTACAGGATGGGGTTGCTAGCCTGCCTTATGCCCAACCTTTCCTCTTTACCAGGATTATTTCTGGCTTAGCGAGGTGAAGAAGTGCGTTGGCCGCCGGGGATCGAACCCCGGACTATGTGCATGGTCAGCGAACGTCTTAACCGCTATGCCACCGACGCACTTCGAAACAGCATAGATTGTCCTAATTAAATTAATATCTCACATGATCCAATCTTTCATCGAATTATGTTTTTTTTAAGCATAAAGTGTCTCAATTTCTTTATCAACACTTTATTTTTAACATTTTAGGAGCCCAAAGAGAGAAGTGGAAAAGACGAAATTGATAAAGTGAATAAAAATGAAAATCAGACATCTGATGTAAATCATTAGATAAAAGGATATTATTACTGTTACAATTTGAGGAAACCAGTTTAGTGCTACGTACATGTAGAATAATGCAATATAAACCACAAAGCAAAACAAGCGAAAAGACAAAAATAAATTCAAAACTTGTAAATCACAGAATATGAATTCAGTTCAAATTGTACTTCATCACTGTATGCTGTTGAATAATTTGTTTGTAGAAACAGAATAGATTTTTTTTTGTGAATTTTACATTTTGAATTACACTTTTCTCAATTCATTACACCGGGATTTGTAACAGTTTAATGCTTTGCTGGTGCATGGAAGATAGAATTTCACTCGTTTACATACGTTACCTAGGATACAGTCTTGGTTGGAGGGCGGGACATAATATTAATGATATCCTTATCCTGAACCCCATTTTTGATACGGTCCCTAGTTGTTTCTCCCTTGTCCAGGACTCTTCTGCAGTGCACACCCATGACCCTACCAGGGGTCGAATACAGAACCTCCAGATCATGAGGTAAGCATGCATCCACTGAGACATAATCTACTGGCCGACTTATGATTTCTAACTTCTGACAGTTCACGATATATCACGCCACCATCAGCCAGTGTTACGGGCGACTACTTCTTCCAAATCAATTCTTTTGGATCCTACTGCTCACAGCATTTCACTAGAACTCAAACCAAATTCACCTTGTAATTAGTCACTAGTGAGCAATAAATTAAATTTCCTAGCGCTGATTTGCAAAGAATTGATTGATTCCCAGTTAGACCACGAGCTACTGTCAGCTGGAGAATTACTGAAAACAGAGAATACTGGAAAGTTGCTCCAGTTAAATTTACATTTCTTTAACAGTACTCACCCATGACGCCCAAGCCGAAAGGTGACTACTACTCAACCACTGGAATACGAATATGAGGAATTAATCTAAAATCGAATTTGAAGTACCATAGTATTCGGATGATTATTGATCATCAATTCCACTAACTGAATCAGGTGATGTAACCACTAATCACTGCTGAAGTTTAACTTCGATGATGGACCCTTTGCTAAACTTTGTGCAATTACTTCTCTTGATGAACTTGGGTAGAGAGAAAACAAGTAACTGAGTCGTATAATTTCATTTCATTTCATTTAGTTGGACGTTGTTAACTGCATATAGATAAAAACACTTTTAATGACAAATTAGAAAATATCTATAAAATGTATACTAATCAGGTTTGATGTGGAGGTCGTGGATGTTACCTAATTGGACAGTGAAAGTGTAAGTAAATTGGTATGCATGTACTTAAGAAGGCAATTGTTAAATTAATGACTCCCACTGAAATGTGAAAAAACTATTTCCCCTAATTATATTTGGCAACTGAAATTTACACAGTACAAGGAAATGAAATTTCACCAAGGTTTCCTTGGGATACCAAAACAATTCAAATCAAAATATGTGATCTGTTTGATACTATAACTAGAAAGTAAGCATAATTACGCAAAACCACGTTCTGCTGACTGATTCAGAAGAGTGCCCATGCACCACGTAGATCAAACAATATAGCTTGCTAGACAGATCGAATCTGATTTAAGATGTTACCAGTTCGTGTAAGTATCTAACCAGAAATCGGATGGTCTAAAATGATTTAGCTCTCTGGGCTGAGTCAAACTGGGTATACCGCTGATGATGTCGGCCACGAACGAAGCCAACGGTCATCTGGTGTTTAGGTAACTTCCATAATCTGATTAGTAGCCACTAGTGGTTGATATAAACCTCGCCTAGATTACTAGCTTGCTAGTTTTCTATCCGGTCCCAAGCCCGAATAAAGAGGGAGGGTTGGAGCAACTCCACCCCCGTAAAACAACCAAATCGCTACAGAAACTTCAACGCGTAAATATATTAAAAATTCTAAAAATATAAACAGTAACCTTATTTTTCACTGGAATCGGGAAGTGAAATGACGTAGGCTGGTGAAAGCCTTCGGGAAACCAGTCAGCCGATGTGCTTCCTTTCGATGAAAGCAAAAATAAGGATTAGTACGTGGAATATTCGTACAATCTACGAAACTGGAAAGGCTGCTCAGGTAGCGGCAGAAATGAGGAGATATAGAATATAAGGGCTGGGAATCTGCGAGAGCAGATGGAACGGATGTGGTAGGTTCCAATTGCCAGCTGGTGGGACAATAATCTATTCCGGCCACCAAGAAGACAACCGCGAGCACACCGAGGGAGCGACTATCATGGTGTCTCCCATACCAGCCAAAGCTCTCATGCAGTGGGAACCAATCTCCTCCAGGATAATGACAGCCAGGTTCAACTCAAAAGGAAGGAAAGTTACAGTCATTCAATGCTATGCGCCTACAAACGTCTCAGAACAAGAGAAGAAGGAGGTGTTTCACAGACAACTACAAACAGTAATGGACAACGTCCCAAATGGTGATATCAAAATCCTGATGAGTAATATGAATGCGAAGCTGGGAGGAGACAATACGGGAAGAGTACTCACCATGGGTCGAGAGGCCCTTGGTGAAATGAATGACAATGGTGAACTCTTCTCAGACTTCTGCGCCTTCAATGATTCGGTGATTGGCGGTAGTGTGTTCAAACACAAGGATATACACGAGACGACATGGATTTCACCAGATGGAAACACAAAAACCAGATAGACTTCATTTCAATCTGAAAAAAGTGGAGACGGAGTCTACTGGACACAGGGTCGAGGAGAAGAGCAGATGTGAGTTCAGACCACTATCTAGTACGAGGGACTTTCAATGTGAAGCTGAAAGCCTGGAGGATAGCCGGAGATAGGCCACAACGCAAGTTCAACACTCAATTACTGAAGGACACAACCACAAGGGACACTTTCACTGCAACTGTCAGAGCAAAGCAGGAAACACCACGTGACATCACTGAAGAACCATGAGTGGAAGACCACTGGAACTCTGTGAAGGTGATTTTCAACGAAACGTGCCCAACGGTCCTAGTAAGAAAGAGAAGACAAGACAAAGAATGGATGTCAATGGGCACTCGGAAGCTAATAGAGGAGATGATAATTGTAAAAGAGAAAATGATTCAACGCAAGGACGGACAGGAGAAGGAGACGCTGAGCTCAACGTACACAGCACTGGACAGGGGAATAAGAGTGCTAGGAAGGACAAAAGACAATTCTACGACAACCTGGACACTGAAGCTGAGAAGGCAGCAGACAAAATGAACCTGAAGACATTATATCAGATAACCAAATCTCTATCCGGGAAGAGACCAACACAAGCGAAACCTATAAAAGACAGCCAAGGGAACCCAATTACCAAAGAAGAAAGACATATTAAACAATGGGCGGACCACTTCAAAGGACACTTGAACCGACCACCACCTGCAACCCGTCCAGAAATACCAACAACGGCATGCACACAACTGCAAGTTGACACCAATCCTCCAACGAAAGCTGAAGTCTTGAATGCAATCAAGCTTCTGAAAGCTGGAAAAGCAGCCGGACCAGATGGAATACCCCCTGAAGCACTGAAAGCAGACCCAGAGAGTACAGCAAATATGCTGACTCCACTATTGCAAAAGGTCTGGAAGGAGGGAAAGGTGCCTACTGACTGGAGGAAAGGTTACCTCGTGAAGCTACCAAAGAAGGGCGACTAACGCCTCACTCTGCAAGAAGTGGCGAGGAAGTATGCTCCTGTCGACGCCAAGTAAAATCCTGAGTCGGATCATCCTGGAGAGATTAAAGGACGCACTGGAGACAGAACTCCGACCAGAACAAGCTGGATTCGGGAAAGGCAAATCATGTTCTGACCAAATTGCAACTCTACGCATCATCATCGTCGAACAAAGCATGGAATGGCAATCAAACCTCTACCTCAAGTTTTCAGACTTCCAGAAGGCCTTCGACAGCGTTGATCGTGAAGTAATTTGGTAATTATTCGAGTACTATGGCGTACCCCAAATATTCATCAACGTTCTTCAACAGCTGTATGACAGCGGCACGTGTCAAGTGATCCACAACGGAAAATTCAGCAAGGCGTTTGGAGTAAACACAGGGGTCAGACAAGGGTGCTTGTTATCTATCACCAATGATATTCCTAATTGTGGTGGACTGGATTATGCGTCAGACAGTGGGAAACGAGAAGATAGGTATATCCTGGACCGATGTGAAGAACCTAAAAGACTTGGATTTCGCGCGTGGATGATTTATGTTTGATGTCACACAAAATCGAAGACTTACAAGCGGAAACCGATAAACTGGTCGAAGAAGCAGCCGGCGAAGACAGGACTCCAGGTGAACATAGACAAGACGGAGGTGATGAAAATAACTAACCAACCAATGACAACAGCAGCAACATCCAGCGCCAATCACCATCAACGGGAGTGATTTGAAGCAGGTTACTTCATTCACTTATCTAGGGAGCATTGTCTCAACTACAGGAGGAGCGAACGAGGATGTAAAATCGAGAATCGGGAAGGCAGGCGAGAAACACATTCATCAACCTGAAATCGATCTGTAAATCTTCGTCACCCAGTCAGAATCAACAACAAAATCTAGTCGGATTTTCAGTACAAACGTCAGGTCAGTCAGTTCTTCTATACGGATCGGATCAGACACTTGGCGGGCGAGTCACAAAGAATATTTCCAACAGCCTGTTGCGGACCTTTATTAACAACTGTCTTCGCTCTATACTGAAGATCAGATGGCCGGGCTGGAAAGAATCACCAACAACAAGAAGCTATGGGAACAAACAAACAAAACAAGAACCAATCGCCAACCAACAAATATGCAGGAGAAAGTGGAGATGGATTGGACATTCGCTCGCTGAAGAGGCCGCTGGATGACATCGCGCGCGCGTCAGGCCATCGCTCAAGTGGAACCCAAAAGGGAAGCGGTGAGTAGGACGTCACTGCGAGGGTGACATGGAGGAGATCGTGTGAAGCGGAGTAGAAACAGTATGTACTAAGATGGATACAGGTGAAAAGTGCAGCAGAAGGAAGGCAGAAGCAAGTGGAGACGTGCAGTTGAAGCCCTATGTTCCTCTTGGAACCCAAGGAAACAATAATAATAATATTATATTGGTTGATATAAGCGGTATGCATCTCTCATCTCAATCACTCAGTAGTATGTGGTTTCACGAATTTGATTGCATATTTTTATTCCTTTACATCTCCATTAGAGCATAGAGCTTCAAGCTGGAGCTTAGAAGTTGCGACAACAGTGATGTTTTACGTTTACCGGAAGAGAAGGGTCGCT